TTGCTAGGGGTTCCATTACAAGAGAGAAGATGATGGGAGATAACTGACAGCCCTGGCAAGTCCAACACAACAAACCCTTTACTCCTGCTCTAGGAAAGGACTCAGTAGACCCAATAGGAATGTTCTGGAATTTTCTGGAATATGCACTGCTTGCTGCCCTCAACAGACCGGGGTGGTCCGAATACACTGGATACAAATGAAGAAACAGAAAAAGGGTGCACCGACCTAGTGCATTATCGTTTAAAATAATTTATTAAAGAAACAAAAATAGGTATCATACTCACAATGGACATAATAACACAGGCATGTCAAACTGAACAAGATGTATGATCCAAACAACATCTGAGTCCATACGATGGAACCCTGGATGACCAACTGGCTAACGCGTTTCGAGGACACAACCTCTTCGTCAGAGCCCTGGCGAGTGCCATTAGTAATGTTAAAGGGTTCTGATAGTGCATTGGATGTGAAAACCTGGGCAGTAGGAACTGTATAAAGTGCCATAATGGCCAAATTTATATATCCAGTAATACCAAATTTGTGCAACGTAGTGTCTAAATATTGCCAGTGAACCCTGTCAAAAGCTTTCTCGGCGCCCAAGGCCAAGAACACCGCCTGTGATGCACGAGATTCGATTAAGTGCATTAGGTCCAGTATTCTCTGAGTGCCATCTGGGGCCTGCCTACCACTAACAAACCCTACTTGATCGGCCCGAATTAGGTGAGGGGTAATTTTAAGGAGACGGGTTCCTAAGATTTTAGCAAAGATTTTGAGGTCAGTATTTAACAATGCAATGGGTCTAAAGTTTTGGGGACGATCCAAGGATTTCCCTGGTTTAGGTAGAGTAACAATGATAGCCCTAACATTTCCGGTGGGAATGTAGACTTGAGAATAGCTTTGTCGAATGTGCGTTTAAGATGAGGAACTAATATAGTTTGAAATTCCTGATAGTATTCATATAAAAAGCAATCCGCACCTGGAGACTTCCCCTTAGGTAGTGTTTTGATGGCTTCGAAAATTTTGCTTTCCAAGGTGGGTCTTTTGAGTAAAGATAGCTTATTCAAAAATTGATCAATCAAATCTGGGGTGGGTTGGGAAGTAGAAGGGTCATCCTTGATGTTGTATAATTGGGAATAATAAGTGCGGAATGCCTCTGCTATTTTATTTGGATGGTAAGTTGGCGTATTAGAAGTAGGATCAATGAGAGAAGATATTTGGGATTTCGCTTGTCTAGTTGTTAAGTAGTTTGCTAGCATTTTACCCGCTTTATTCCCTTGGAAATAAAATTTAGCCTTGGCCTTTTTTAGATATTGAGCATGTCTCCCTAAAAGTAGAGTCCTAAATTTTAATCTCGTGATTTAAGCTCCTGAAAAGGATTAGGGGATAGAGTTTGTTTATGTGTGTGTTCAAGTTTAGCTATTTGCTCAATGCTGTCCAGTAGTATACGGTTCCTAGCCGTTTAGCCTGCGATGCAAGCTTCAATAGTAACCCTCTACAGTATGCTTTATGGGCACACCATACATTAGTTGCACTGGTATCAGAAGCTAAATTAACAGCAAAATACTCCTCTAAAGCAGCAGTAATAACAGGGCGAGACATATTACAAAACATGGAAGCATCATTATGCCTCAATATTTATAGAGATAGGAACGACCACATCATCGGATGTATTTCAGGTGTAGAAATATTTTGAAGCAGCTAGATATCCATAAGAAAAAAGTTTATTCGGGAATATGATTTGTGGGGTGCTGAGTAGTGTGTAAAGTCCTTTTCAGAAGCATGGATGCATCTCCAGGGATCAGAAAGGTTTGCTGCCGTGATGGTCTGGGCTAAAGACTGTCTCAAATGCTGTGAAGAATTGGAGGTGTCCATTGAGTTGTTGATAATAGCGTTAAAGTCTCCACAGTAAATCAAATAACCCCTTTGTATTTTTGCTACTTTTTTCCGCAAGGAGTTGAAAAAAGGGACGTGATGGGTATTAGAGGCATAGAGATTCACAATAGTGTAGGTGATTTTGTTAATTGCACAGACGATGATTATGAACCTGCCTTTACTGTCAGACACTTGGGAGAGTAAAGAGAAAGTGACAGAGTCACGTACAGCAATCAATACGCCACATTTCTTAGTAGGGCCATTGGATGTAAAAATATGTGGGTACATATGGTTGGAGCAGTATGGGCCTTAGATGCCGAGAAATGGGTTTCCTGGACACACAACACGCACACGTGCACATTCAAAGAGACAATTTTTAGTACCATGAGGAAGCTTGAGTGAGTGATGTGTGGTCACCCTCAAGTGGTAGAAACAGCAATAGCCTGGCACGGTTTGAGGGCCAGATTTGTACTCTTGCGGAGTCCATGGTTTTCAAACGTGGGCGAAGGAGGTACAACCCTCCATTATTGGTATATGATGACTCGTCAAGATCCACTAACATAAATGGTGTTGCTGCTCTGAAGAAAAACACATAAACAGAGAGGAACAACTGGAGAGAAAAAACATAACAAAAAAGTGACACATAAGTTCGTGTGAAACGAATCACTCGAATGTATGGGGGGAATTGCCGAGGCAAACAGCCTAGGGCACCGCTATCTAAACTTGCAGCAGGAAAAATATAAGGCACCAGAGAATGTGGGAGGAAGCAGTTGCGTGTGTCAGCCCGCTACCTGTTCCCATTCTGGAGGGATTTTTCTGGGGGAGGATTTTGTAGGGACGATTTCCTCTTCTGCTGGGATAAGGCCCCATTTTTTGGCAAGTTGAAAGCCATCTTCTTCCGAAGTGACCGTAAGGACTCGATTGTCCTTTGTAATCAGCAATTTGGTAGGGAACCCCCAGTGGTATTTGATATCATTGTTGCGCAATAATTTTGTGAAGGACATCAATTTCTTGAAAGCTAGTATGGTGTGTTGAGAAAGGTCAGCAAACAGAGAAATCCCACTGTAGGGTGCTGGCAAGGGAGTATTCTTTCACGTAAACGGCATAAGTTCCTCCTTCACATGATAGAAATGAACTCTCGCTATGACATCGCGAGGGACATGAGCTGGGAGAAAAGAGGGCTTCGGCAGTCTATGCGCCCTGTCCACTACCACTTCCCTATTCGGAGTATGGGGCAGTAATGTGGATATCATATGTTGAATAAACTTACGGAGATCCGCCACGGGGGTGTCCTCACCAATCCCCCTAAATTTTATGTTATTTCTGTGGGAGCAGTCCTTAATATCCGCAATTTTCTCCTTTAAAGATTTCAGCTCATCTTCCACTTCATTGTGGGCATCTACTAATTCGTTATAAGCAGTGGCGAAATCCCCCATTTTAGTTTCCACACTTGATACCCGCTCACCCAGGTTTTCCATCTCTGTATTGATCTGTGACATAAAGCTCATCATGTCCTTATGTAGGGACCCTTTAAGGGTAACTAACACATCTTTCATGACAGTAGCATTAAGCGGCATAGATTCTGCTGGATAATCCTCTAAATTCTCTATAAATTCTCTGGTAGTATTTTGAGAAGAGGAATCATAGATTTGCTCACTCCTCTGTTGCACCTCTGGAGAGACCCTCTGCATGTTCTTGAGGGGACTGCATGATGGTGTTCTCAAGCGAGAGCCTGTCAGCTCTGTGTGCACAGCAGGGCTGGAGGCATGCAGGGGAGAGCTGTGCTTGTCTCCTTCCTCCTGTCCTTGTGGAGCAGCTGAGGGACAGGGACTGGCGCCATTTTGACAGGACGGGGGACCTGCCGGAGCAAAGAACTCCAACAGCTTGCGGGGCCCCTCCTTTATTTTTCTTTTCCCCCCCCATTCTCCGGGGATGTGCCCCACATTTACCTGGTGTCAGCGGTGATGTCAGAGGGGTTTCCCGCTGAAGTCCGTTGCTTTAGATGGCTGATATCCTCAGCGGTGCATGGAGCACTGTTACTCAGCGGCCATCTCCGTCCGCAGCCGGCCACGCCCCCCTACAAACTGATTTTCAATTGATGTGTGCCCAGCTTAAGTGTCAGTGTATTGAAAGTGAAGAGAAGAGATTACAAACCACACTGAGAGGGTAGGAGAGTTCAATTTGCAAACTGTTCTTTAATTCTTTGAATTGCAGTGGTGGTTTCCCTCCATCTCTGGGTTTTTAAAGCTCTTCATTTAACCCCAAAAGTATATAAAGGGATTACTGTCTGTGTTAATAATGCATTTGCTTGCTAGTTTTTTGCTGACTTTTTTTTTTTGGGTGGGTATTGGTCTTAACACTGGGAGCACTTTTCTTGAACTGTAGTTTACTAGTTTACAATTGATTTCAGGGCAGCAGTCACTTTCAGCTGCTGACACACTTCTAGCAAGTGGCTTTGTTTTGTTGCATGACTTTCTTTTAAAAAAAAATATGGGCTTGGGGTAAACTGGTTTTCACTTTATGTTGGTAAGGTACCACAGGGTTCACCTTTCACTGTTTTTTGTTTGAAACGGTTCTCTGCTTTCCTCAGCATGAGTGATGAGTTTGAGTTCATTCTGAACCCCAACGTTGGGTGTCATTGCTGAGGCAATCAGCTGCTGGTAGGAGATGCCCTACACCACAACCAACATACACAAAGGCCCATTGCTGTGACCGCTAACTTCCAGGTTCATAGTGAACCCCTATCCAGATTAAGGTGTACGTTTCTTAAACTGCGGAGTTTTATCTCAGTTCAGTTCTGTGCAGTTCTCAGAGGGAGAACAGAGGAGAAGTTTCTCCTCTGAAAATGGCTGAGATCTGTGTAGTAGGGGGAGGGCTGCCTGTGATCTTATGAGATAATGTGAGGTTAAAGGGCAGCCGAGTTTAAAAAGTGAAGCCAAAGTTAAAAAGAACACGTAATTACACGAAAATAATAGGCATTATGCACTGTGTGTAGACACACAGATAGCTAACTACTATATATGTATACACTATATTGCCAAAAGTATTGGGACACCCCTCTAAATCATTGGATGCAGGTGTTCCAATCACCTCCATGGCCACAGATGTATACAATCAAGTACCTAGGCATGCAGACTGCTTCTACAAACATTTGTGAAAGAATGGGTCGCTCTCAGGAGCCCAGTGGATTCAAGTGAGGTACCGTGATAGGTTAGCACCTGTGGCTATGAGTGAAATTTCCTTGCTACTAAATATTACACTGTCAACTGTTAGTGGTATTATAACAAAGTGGAAGCAACTGGGAACAACAGCAACTCAGCCACAAAGTAGCAGGCCACTTACAGTGCACAGAAGTTGCCAACTGTCATTCGCTAAAGAACTCCAAACTACGTGTGGCCTTCAGATTAGCACAACAACAGTGCATAGAGAGCTTCATGGAATGGCCTCCATGGCTGAGCAGCTGCATCCAAGGCTTACATCGCCAAGTGCAAAGCAAAGTGTGGGATGCAGTGGTGTAAAGCAAACTGTAACTGGACTCTAGAGCAGTGGAGACGTGTTCTGTGGAGTGATGAATCACGCTTCTCTGTCTGGCAATCCGATGGACGTGTCTGGGTTTGGCGGTTGCTAGGAGAACAGTACTTGCCTGACTGCATTGTGCCAAGTGCAAAGTTTGGTGGAGGGGGAATTATGGTGTGGGTTTTTTTTTCAGGGGTTGGACTTGGTCCCTTAATTCTAGGTAAGGCGTCAGCATACCAAGACATTTGGACAATTTCATGCTCCCAACTTTGTGGGAACAGTTGGGGGATGACCCTTTCCTGCTCCAACATGACTGCTCACCAGTGCACAAAGCAAGGTCCATAATGCATGAGCGAATTTGGGGTGGAGGAATTTGACTGGCCTGACCTCAACTCGATAGAACACCTTTGGGATGAATTAAAGTTGAGACTGCTAGCCAGGCCTTCTCGTCTGACATCAGTGCCTGACTTCACAAATGTGCTTCTGGAAGAATGGTCGAACATTTCCATAAAAACACTCCTAAACCTTGCCTTCCCAGAAGAGTTGAAGTTGTTATAGCTGCAAAGGGTGTGCCAACTCAGTATTGAACCCTACGGACTAAGACTGGGAAGAAATTATAGGATAAGTTCACCTTTTAGAAAAAAAATAATAAATGCCAATTTTTGTTACAGGTAAAAAAAAATGTGCATTTATTATTTTTGTTTGCAGGAGCCTGTAAACCATTGTAACAGCGATGAGCAGATAGCTGGTGCCATTCAGGTCTGCTGCAGATCTGTCAGTGTATCTGCTTGCTCATACAGGATATACTGACAGGAAGAATGAATGAACTACCATGGTGCTTTACAGTGCTGTGGTAGCTCATTGAGGACTACAAGCTGACAGCTGCTAAGGCAGATGACTGTAAATGATTGACGCGCTTTTTTTTAATTTTACAGCTAGCGAGGGGGGAGGTCTAATTGTAACATGTTACACCCTGAATATGGGTGAACTTGTCCTTTAAAAGTTAATGTGCATGTAAAGGCAGGCTTCCCAATACTTTTAGCAATATAGTGTACATATAGGATAGGATACATAGAGACACTTCCCTTTCCTTCTCTTAATTATGTCTGTATATATACAGTGTGTGTGTGTGTGTGTGTATATATATATATATATATATATATATATATATATATATATATATAGTGTGTGTGTGTGTGTGTGTGTGTGTATATAGAGAGAGAGAGCATTACCCCCTTAGGGATTGCTGATGAATTTGGGTCCCCCTATAGCCCTGCACGACCAGTCAATCAGCATTTTCCAAACAAACTTTCATCCGGAGACAGAAACGAGTCCTTGAGTTTTGGTTTTGGTGTTTATTGAGAGGATAAGAACTTGGATAGGGTAAGGGAGTATAGGATGCCCAAGGAAATCAATATTTGAGGACAACTTCCTGAACTATTCACAAGCTTCTCTTTTTCAGAAGCACAGTCCCTAGTGGAGTGCTAGCCAGCAGCTTCTAGTTGTACCACTCCAGACCCTAGATGAAATCCTCTTCACCCAGCAATCTGGAGACTTTCTTCCTGAGCAGGGGATCTGGCTCCTGTTCATTTAAATAAGGTGCACAGTCACTAGCAGGGGGCTAATCTGGTTTCCCACGAGAGTGCTCCTTCCGCTATCCGCATAGGGGGTGCAGGTGTACCCCCTAAGATTCCCTTCTAAACCACTTGTGGGTTGGCTGCTGCTACCAGTCCTATAGGCTGGGCTGCTCCTTCCCTGCCATACAGGTAGTCCTCTCTCAGGTGCCAGTGAGTCCCAAGTTTTCCTCCCTTCCAGCTCCAGGCATACAGGCAGGCCCCATCTCACTAGGCCTCCTGGCATCCTTCCACCTCCAACCTCACATCTACTTGCTCCACTCTCCTCTCCCACCACTCTACTCTACTCCTACACAAGAGTGCAGCCAGCCACTTCGGGGATCCACCCACTGCCTCCAAGGCCCTCCTCCTAAAGCCTCAGAGCAAGGGGAATTTCCAGAGGGACTGGCCTGTAGAGTCTCTAATGCCCTGACCACAATTTGACCCCTCTGGCTATCACACCTGAGCTGTTAACCAGCTCCTGACTAACTATTAGGGTCTAGCTCCCCATAGCTGCACTAAGAGGGTGCTACATATATTATGTGTATTAATTTTTAACCCACTGATGCTGATATATAGGAAGAAATAAGTCTTCTTCCATTAATCACACCAGCTTCTCTCCCAGATTCTTCACTTCTGAGCTGGTGAAACTGGGATGGAGATATTTCATAGTAATGGCCAGTAAATTACTACTGGCCGTTTGTGACAGAACGGCTGTGCACTGTGATGAGAAGCAGAGAACGTGTCCTCTGCTCCTCTTCTCACCTACGTAAACCTATACACATGAGAGATCAGCCATTTTCTCTCTTTCATAAAAATACACCTAAGTTAGAGAGGTTAGCAAAGAGTTAAGTGTGCCAAAAAGCCTAAGCTTAACCAAATTCAATAAATACATGGGTCATCTAGCATTCACATGCCATGTGAGGTCCATGAGTGTTCCCTTTTGCAGACGTCTGCCCTAGGCCACTAGGGTTTTTTTTTTAAATTTTTCACACCGCTTCATCGGTATCACTAGAACCATGTGGGAGGACTTAAAAGTTGCGTTATTCTTTTTAGTGTAGTATAATGAGTCATGGGAGCTGGCAGATGGAAGAAGTGCTTAATTCACCTTTAAAATGTTCTTTTTGGGGGCTCTTTTTCAGGAAAAGTTGTGTGTGGATACCTGGCTGGCCTCATAGGCTCAGCATGCCCTTCTAACGTTATGGGGTATATGTCTGTCTGCTGTACACATACAACAAACATTTACACAGCCCCAACAAAACGTACAATATTTTGTATAATATAATGATCTTTTTTGATTTTCAGTGAAAATATATATATGAAATGCGGTATATCGCATGTGATTCGCACAGGAATCGCACCGCATTTGTATCACACCACACCTGCACCAAAAATGTGCAGGACTCTTTTTGGGTCTGCATTAGAATCGGATCGCACATAGCACCACGTTTGCGGACCGCATTTGGGGTGTTGGTAACTTAACATACACACCCGCAGCGGTTCGCATGAATGGGGTGGGATTCTGATGCGGTGTGGAATTTGCACGGAAAACACTGCGAATTCCACACCACATCAGTGTGCACCAGGTCTTAGTGGCCATAATGTGATATTTTTCTTGATTATTTCTTTTGGAAAACAAAAATACTACATTATGAACACTAGAGGGTGATTACAATCATAAGAGATAATTATGTTACACAAAATACAGCTATTGTCTTTTAGGTTGTGCAAATGTTTGTCACATTTCTTCAGCAAATTGTTTATATATAGACCCTTATAGCTGGAAGGGCAGGGCCACAGATTTATTGATCTAAAAAGCATACTCGATTTGAACAATAATGGCAAACAAACTGAAATTTGACAACAAACCAGCCAGTGCAAGCTGTTGGGTTGAGTAAGCACCCAACATAACAAGGCTTAAAAGAGAAGTATGGCCAAAGCTTTTTGGTCATACTTCTCTTGTGGGTCACAGAAGTGGACTTACTTTTGCACTCTTGTGACCTAGAGTTGCCTGAGTGTGGGCTATAGCCTGCTGTAAGCTGATGAAGCAGAGCTGCAATAGCCTTTGGAAGAATCCCACCCATAATGTCAGAATCCACCCAGCTGCCTGATGGACAACTGACTTTGACTCTCAGCACGAGGCTGAGGGCTGGAGCCAGCTGCATCCACCTGCCCCCCTGCTAAGAGCTCCAGTGAGCACTGGAGGAGCACAGTGGAGAGCAGTGACTGACAGTCACTGCCTTCTGACCCAGGGACATAGATAAGGGGGAGTCAAGGGGGGTCCAAACCTCCCCAGAGCATTCTGCCTAAATGCCCAGTCAGTGTCCCTGCTGCCATAGCTGCACCACTCAGTGTCAGCAACAGCACAGGCTGTGCAGCAATCTGAAAAGGGTCAGGGGTAGGTTGTGGGGCCCCTGATGTAAGCTGAGGTATTCACGATACTCCCTCCTCCCCTTCCACTTCCCCAACCTCTTAAACCTTTCCACTCTCCTTGCCCCACTCTGCCCTTCTCTTCTAACTTTGGGGAACCTACTGAAAGTGAATAGCCATTAGGGACCATGATGTAAGGAGGACTCTGGGGAACCTGATGTAAGGGGGAGGGGCTCTAGGGACCCTGATGTAAGGGGGTTTTAGGGACACTGATTTAAGCAGGGAGCTCTGGGGATCCTAATGGTAATTGAGGCTCTAGGGACCCTGATGTAAGGGGGACCATGGGGACCCTGATGCAAAGAGGGGCTCTAGGGACCCTGATGCAAGTGGGGGCTCTGGGGGACCCTGATGTAAAGGGGGGCTCTGGGGATCCTGATGTAAGTGGGAGCTCTAGGAACCATGATCTATGGGGGGGACCTCTGGAGACTCTGATTTAAGCAGGGGGTCTCTTGGGACCCTGGTGTAAGGGGAGGTTGACTCTGGGGACACTGATGAAAAAAGGGGAAATCTAAGGACCCTGATGTAAGGGGCGGACTTTGGGGACCTGAATTAAATGGGAGTGGAGATTGTTACTATACTCTGGTGTGATTCGCATTTGGTATATCTCCTGCACTAGTGATCTCTTATAATTTCGAGATCCTGGTTTTCTGGTAAGGGAATTTATATACGTAGCTATGTCTGAGGTTGTTTGGGACTAAAGCGCATGGAACTGTGGCATTTCATTTTCACACGATATTCTTCACTGGTCTCCTAGTGGAACCTGGAAATATTCTTTTGGGATGAATACTGTTTGTTTTCATTGTGATTTTTATGGTCAGAGGTTTTGCACATTCTTTTTTTGTAATATTTCACTACACCCAACTACAGTATACTGTAATGGAGTGGGGGACTCCATGGGTGGAGAACGGAGTGTCTTATTCCAAAGTCCGCCTACTGCACCAAGCAGGACAAAACTATGTCACTGCTTTCTGCAGAAAAAAAAAAACGAAAACAGGGACAAGACCGGCAGCAGGGAGAATAAGAGGCA